TTCCTGCTCATGTTCTGATTCCCTCTGTTTTAATGGATCTTTAAAGAGGTCGGAGTCGATGCGTGAGCTGGGATCAATGCTATCCTGTTGCTGCTGCCTTTTCATGGAGTCATTTGACATCTGTACTTTATTGATGCGCAAAGCAGCTCTATTATCTCTGGCTTTTTGCTGGAAAAAGATTTAAAAAAATGTAGTTAGCCTTGTTCTCTTCTGCTAAATGTGAACACTGCATCTGTTATTCCTACAAAATGTACCAGCAAATTATTTGTACAGTCTGTTTTAATCACATGCATACTTGTGAAAACTAAATTATGCACTTTAAAAGGAACTCCAAACTCAAAATATTAATCTCTATAGAAATTCTGTGTTTAACATACATGGAAATAACTGAGGAGTTATTAGCAGTAGAGATTTTTCTATACATTAGGAGTGTCTGTTCAGGTAGTGTGCTGTGCCAAGAACGCATGAATCCCACCAGTTTCCCTTTCAAATCACATACTGGTGTGGTCTGCAATCTGAAGACATGAGCACAGCAGATGATCTTTGGATCAATAAAGGCCACTAATGTGGGGAACTTCAATGACAAGAAAAATACAGTCTACTCCATTAAATAGCCTCTATAGATCTCCAGCTGTGTTAAGTTAGCAGTATAAACATAGGATATGGGCTTATGGATCAGGAAAAATTGGATGGAAGAACAGCAATTCCTCTTCAATGAGGCATTTTACAGCCATATCGACACTTTAAAGCATCTAATGGAAGTTTCCAAGAGTCTGTTTTACCATCAACCTAGGATGTGATCCCTTTTCCAAATCGAACCTTCACATCTTTTTCACAATTTCATCTGCAGTTGTCAAGCAGGGGTTGCTTTGCAGCAAAAGCTTTAATCCTTCCCCTCCAACAATGAAACAGTGTCATGGATGAGAGCACCAATGTCACAGCAGCAGAAAAACTAATGTCATTTTCTCCTGTAAGTGATGGGATTGTGCATACTAAGGAAAGTAAAAAGCCTACAGTGAAAATTTACTAACACCTGTCTGAATTTCCTTTCTAAGGTAGCCTTTACTCATCCCCACAGTGTAAGTCCCACAGCACCTTCTTGTGTGCACAATGTCAGGAACACTCACAACAGCTGAATAGCTGTAACTTCTGTGAGGAAACAACTGCTTCTTGCTGCCTGAACACTCATGTGTGCATATGTGTGTGCTTGCATGCACGTGACGGAAATAATTTTTATTATTAATAATAATTTTTATGACTATCCATTAGGAGAACAGGACTGCATTTGTTAAAAGCAATGAAAAGGAAAAAAAGTCAGTAACAGGCATAATTATGAAGTGGTAAATGCCTGGATAAATATCCACCTGTGTAAGTGGATAGCATCTTAGAAACACTACACAGAAGGAATCACCAAGATTAAATCCAGCACAGGCAAGATGACATAGAGGTCCAAAGGTGCTGAAGTTACAGGCCTGAATAAAAAGCAGAATAATGATGATGTGATACAAAGAAGGCAACAGGTAATTATTCTTTCAAGTGGAAAGGGGTTCAGAAAGATCAAGAACTCCCTTTTCCACACTGAGCTTGGGGTAATGATTTATCCTCTAAAAGCTGTCAGAGAGATAAGGGGATTTTTTTAATTTGGACACTAGGAGATAATGTTGGTACTGTTGAGCTCTGAGTTATCAACATACATAAGAATCAAATTTACTTACTAATGGGACTATATTGAAAAAGTGCAGGTGGGGGGAGGCTAGAGACTGAAAACAACCCTGTGAAATCCACAGAAATCATCAAAGTGAGAATGTTCAGCCAATTGCTGTTATGAAGACACAAAGAAAAGATGCAGAACCAGGAGAGAATGAAGATGTGACAGGAAATTAAAGAAAAGTTCATTTGCTAACAATGGCTGGGAAGGCCAAAAAGAACGAATAACACAGGTTCTGAGATTTGGGTGCGGACAGGCTTCAGCAAGAGGTTTTGACAAAGCAGAAGGGTCACCCTTTGAATGGCAGAGGTTCTGAAGAGTTGATCAATGACCACATAACTCCAGTCAGCTGCTATAAATATGTGTTTGCTTGACTCAGATGTGAAGAAGGTGAATGCTTTTGGAGAGGAAAATTGAGTGCTTTGCTCTCCCCACAACATGGAAGATATCAAAAGAGTTTCCACCACAAAGCAACAGAAGAGAATAAGTAGTGAAGGGGAGCAGTAAGGCAAGAACACAGGAGTAGAAGAAAATGAGGAAAGTAGGGACATGAGCACTGACACCTTTGGCATGGTTACAACAGGGGAAAGACTTCAGCAACACTAATGGGGCAAAAAAGAGAAGAGTAGTGAGAGGGGAGGATGAAAGAGAGTAAAGTCACATAATGATTTGTTATTGTCCTAAAGAAACTGGTGAGATCCAGTGCAGAAAGAGATGGAGTAAATAAGACTTGAGGCATGAACCAAATGTTCTAAAGAGGCACTGGGAACCACAAACGTCCTCATCTCAGCTGATGCCTTTAGATTGCAAAATACCACTATAGTTTATTCCAAGGCTGAGAAGCAAAGAAACCAGGTAGAAGCAGTCAGAGGTAGAATTTAAATTACAAGAGCATTCTTGAAGTAAGCGAACTTTCACTAACCCTAGAACTTAAGTAAAAAAAAAAACTGAAACAGAAACAAAAAACAAATGAAAACTTTATAAATGAAATATGTTTGCAGAAAAGTATGCAAATGCAGGTGCTGGTTGTTCTTACCACATATGGAGCCCTCTCCTGTGAGCTTGCTTTCCTCCACAGTTTAGCAATCTGCTTCACTCTTGTAGCCCAGTCTGAAACCAAAAAATGTGTTAATCTGCAAGGCTTTGCTAAATCTATTTCACCTTCTTTCAGATCAAGTCTGCTACAATTGCTACAAAATATCTAACTTTATTCAGTAAATCACTCACCTGGGAACTCTTCCTTCAGGTTAGGGAAGTTAATATTTGTATAGAGAACAGGTGCTACTGTTGCCATTTCACCCAAAGCTTCTTCTTTTTCCCACTTCAGAGTGCTTCTTTGAGCATTGGACATCGTGTCACCTTCACCTTCCAAAGGTGGAGCAGATGGTGCCCATGAGCTGTTCGGATCGCTTACCATGGGATTGAACGCTGGATTCTTATCCCTGACAAATCAGGAAAGGGTTCTGTTTTATAGATTGCTCTCAACATAACAAAACAAAACCCAAACAATTAGCAAAGTACTTATTCTGTTTCAGTAGTGAACAGACTGCAAGAATATAGAAGTTTTTGTACTGGCTGTCAAGAAGTAAGTAGTTAAATACTATTAATATCACAGTATTAATAAAAACACCACCCCTCAAGTGATGGGCGATCCCTCAAGAACAAGAGATGGTTTTTATTGCTCATCTTGATTTACCTGGTATCAGTATATGGTTGCTGTGTGATGGGAGAGAAAGTGCCCAGTCCACCTCCAGCAGTCAAAGCTGTATGGGGAAGGTGAGGGTTAGGGCCAATCAGACCATTCATGAGGGGCACTCTTGGAAATGCGTTCTCTCCTGGAAAGAAGAAATCTGAATTACTGTTTGAAAAGGTCACTACTTTTAATGTAGAATGAAAACTTTCAGTGAAAAAAAAAATCTCTTACCTAATGAAAAACTAATTGCTTTAAAATTCTGTAGTACTGACCTTACATTTTTAGAAACTATTTTAAATTGGTTCACATTGCTTCACTACAAGCTTAAGGGATTCTTTTCTACTGTATCATGTCCCTGCACAGCTGTTTTTCTCTTGTCTGAAAAACTGGGGTTTTTTGAATGGATTTCCAAAACTTTTGCAAGTAGCTCATTCTATGGTACAGCATTTTATACTGAAGTATATTCGTAACGGCTAACGGTCTGTCGTATTAGTTATGCCCAGATCCAAGCAGCAAGCACGGAGAAGGCTGTATTCAGTCCTTGCAGAATTATCATCAGCCACCTGAATTAAACATCTCCCCTTCTGAGCAGTGTACCAAAGTAAGCCTCATTATCTACTAACTCCCTAATTTGCAACCAATGAAACAGATAAATCTGGTCAAACGAGCATCCGCGTTTTCTAATTAAATGTCCAGCCTAGCGGTATGAAGGCAGAAATTTTATTTATTTGATTACAACATTATAAATATGGCACAGGCAGATTCATTCCAGCAGATGGTATCTGCAGATGTTCCTACACAGAATTAACACTGGCCTTCGAATCCCTGGCACTTAGGTGTGATTATAACTGCTGTCCCAGTATCTTCTTAAAAGCATAGAAGTAGCTCAGGAATTAGATGCCTCTGTACAATCTCTCACACTTTAGGAGGCTGTCTTCTGATCTACAGCTTACATGCACTATCAACTCAAATTTTAAGAGAACGTGCTTTAATATAGCTGATAAATAGACATAATACAGTAACTGTGAAGACCTGGTAAACCAACAGGATGGAGTCAGGGCTCTGGTTTGCACAGCAGGATCACGTGTCTTTATGAGGAGAGAGCATTAATTTCACTTGAAACTGCTGAATTTCATTGCTGAGCATGACAGAAACGTGTGGATCATTACACTGTAACTGAACCAAATTATAAATCTAAAACTTTGTCACTGTGGCAGTTCCCACAGGGAGAAGTTAAACAATCTTACAGAGCTCAAATGCTGAAGTTCTCTCCAAATACTCAAGTAGCTGGGAAACAGGCAATGATATCTATATTATCTTCTGCATTAAATCACCTCATTATCTGCATTAAAAACTCTCTCCTTTCTAAGACTTCTGAAGTATTTCCTTTTTATGGAAATTCATCCAACTAGGAAACCAATCATTTCTCTTCTTATGATTAATTCACTGGTGAAATTAATTTGCATACTACTTTTTGTAGTACCAGTAAAATAGAATGGGCACTCTTCACATGAGCTCAGTGAAAATCCATTACAGGTGATGTCTGCTGAGAAAAGAGTGCACTTAATTATGCTCATACCTACTGCTACAAAATTAACAACGCTCTACTGGTAACAACAATAATCAACCTGCCCCTTGCTTTCAATACAAAAGCCAGAATACACTTTATCAACTCATTATGATTTTAGTAGTAACAAAAAAAAAAATTATAATATCCCAGATACATTTCAAAATTATTTAGCTTTCGCTCTATTATCTGTGTAGGACTAATACGTTAAACTGAATTCTTAAAGGACATTAAGAGTCAGTAAATCACTGTTACACAGACTCTCTCGTTACCCCTTGAGGAGGTACTCAAAAGTAATTAGAAAGTAAAGACACAAGAAAACACATGCTTTATCATAGAAAATTTCAAAACTATGCAAGTGTCAGCTAAAATAAAAGCTCCAATATGTCAGAAAATTCTAAAATAACTGTCCTTTCCTATCAGCAATATTTATGTGCATGTCAATCACATACCCCCTTCAGAACAGTTTTAGAGTATTTCATAAATCTAAAAAGGCAGATTCCACCAACTAACAATGGCAGACAGTAAGGCACATCCTGCTGTCACATCCGTAGGTAAAAGATGCACAACCCTCCTGACCAGGCTTTTAAAAGTAACGAAGGAACATACCCTGACTGTGCAAGGACATCAACTGCGGTGGAGGCGGAGGCTGTGGCAAAGGAGCCGGCTGTGCGGTTGCTGGACTCAATACAGCTGTGAACAAATCTTCCACATCCTTTCCCCCTAGCTCTGCAAAAACACTGTGCATGAGTTGGCTGTCACCGTTTATGAACTGTATCTTATAAAAGCCAACAAAGATTACAACACCTACCTGGGATTTTGTACAGTTTGCCAAGAATAGCACCTGGACAAAGTAAAGATAACACAGAATGAGCTATCATCAAAAGATGCAATAAAATTAATTCTGCAACCAAGTCCAAATAGTTATGTTACAATACACAGGTAAGTGATTTGAGAAAAAAAGAGAAGATTTTTACTTAAGTTTCCTAGAAGACCAAGATCAAAGACAAAAAAATTACCATCTGTGACCATTTTGTCTAGTTCTGGGCTGAGGATCCCATCCAACTGCTCCTCACTCAATGGCCGTGAACTCTGGCTGACATTCGGCTGAGGCAGAGAGGAAGGATCATCAGCGATGGGACCGATATCTAAACCAGCTGAAGGAAGAAGGAGTATTAAGTTAGACATATATAATAAAACTTATCGGTTGGTACAGAATAAAGAGCGTAAAACTTTTTTTTTCTTCCTCTAGAGCTGAGCTATCAACTAAACCAAGACTCTCTCAGCTTTGAAAGGTAAGGCAAAAATCAGACTGCTATTTACCTCCAGTTTACTGTACAGCTTGAGAAATGTTAATTGAATAGGACGCAACTGGAAGAATGGGCAGTAAGACTACTGAGTTTGGGTACAGCACGTTTTTGAGAGTATTGTCTTCAGTATATACTTCCACTACAACTACTTTTCATGTTTTAAAAACAGTCACACCAGTTCATCCTCATGCACCGTAAGGTTCACCACAAATGTTGTTACAGTATTACATTAAATATCTACTGAAGTGCTGTTGAAGTGCAGTCAATTTCAAACAAGTTACAGCAGTTTCTGTTTCAAAAACAACTACCGAATATTCTGGGTTACATCAGACAAAGCAGTTTGTTGGTACTGAGAAAATACAATCTACTACATACATTTCCTAACATCCTTTACAATCAATAAATCTCTCAAACAAGAAAGATCTTTGAAAAAAAGAACGACACACTTCAGTGTTTAAAATGTATTTCTGTATTAGATATAAAATAAAAACAAATTTAAAATAATGAAACATGCTGTTCTACTTATTGTTGACCTACGTTTTACCTAACGTGAGGAACTGTCACCCAGTGGAAACAAAAAGATCGATGCTGACTGCCTTATTCATGCTTTAATATAGTCACATTGTTAAAATGCTTTTAATTGACAAAAGATACCACTGTGATAAAAACTACACGCTACTACTAGAAGTAATATTAAATTAACAGTGGCAGCAAGAAAATGCATGGCTTTGTATCATGAAACACAAAAACTCAGGAAGGTTTTAAAAGCCGTAAGCAAAACTTTATGCAGTACTCTTAAATGCAGAGCGCAGAGTTTCGAGGTTGTGGTAGACTCCAGGAA